TCTTCTATCTCCTCTTCCTTGGCTCTGGTTGTTGGTGCATATATTTGAATGATAGTGGTATTCACTGGACTTCCTTGTATGTGTATAGATATTATCCTGTCACTGACAATTATGGAGATTAGTTAGTTCAATTAGCATAATGCTCTTCAGTCCCTCCCAAGTTAGGTAATGATTTGAAAAAACATTGCTACTGTGTGCTGTGTAGTAGTCCATAGTATAAATATACAAAACCACTGGCAATAAGAAAAATGCAAATAAAAAGTACAATGAGAAACCATCTAGCTCCAGTAGCCATGGCAAAGTTTACCAGGACAGCAACTAATAAATGTTGGAGAGGATATGGCGAAGTAAAAGCTCTTATGCATTGTTGATGGGATTATAAAATGCTACAGTCTCTCTGGAAGGCAGTTTGCTATTTCCTTAGAAAGCTGAACATAGAAATTCCATATGACCCAGCTATTTCCCTGCTTGGAATATACCCTGAGAAAATAAGAACTGAGGCACAAAAAGAGACTTGTACATTAATGTTTATATCAGCATTATTCACTTTCATAAGAATACAAAAGTAGCCCAAATATTAACCACAGTAGAATGGATTGAGAAATTATGATGCATCCAGGGGGATTTTATAGCCTGTAATTGCAGGGTTGGTAGTTGCCCCTCCTTCTCCCTCAGAGGAACAGTGAATTCAAACCACTTACCTTTGAATTGAAAAGGAGACTTACCCATCATGGTACCAGAGCTTCCTCAAAGTCAGCTAAGAGAGTTACCTGGAAATCTACCTGGCAAGGCAGAACACCTGTGTCTCTGAATCCCATGATTTTGTAGTTATTCTTTCCAGACATGGCATCTCTGGGCCCCTGTGATGTGTGTCCAGAGCCCTAACTCACTCTTACAGGTCTCCTGTGGCCTCTAATGGCTAAGCACTGCCCTTTGCAGCTCAATTAAGTGTTCACTGCCTCCCCAAATACAGGATGGGAACAACATTAATGATGCACAGATCTTAAAGCATTAGTGCATGAAGGGAAGTTTTTATCACTATCTTGCACTGGTTGCCCGTTCTTTTTCTTGAATGGTGTTGAGATGGAATTTACACATAGCTGATCCTCCAGTTGGGGTGCACAATTTGTGAATCACATGGAAGATTTCACCTATGGTTCTGCCACAAAACTGCTCATGGATGCAAACCACATCGCTTTGAGTTCTACATCACTCTAGTAGCAAGAAGTTATGTTACCATATCAAAAGCATGAGTTTGGAATCTACCATACTCTACGGAGTATCATGGATATTGCCTCCTATACCCCTCACTGGAGGGCAATGAGTTTGTTTGCTCAATAATTACAGGATTTCCAAGCCACCTTCCTTCACATTCCCTAAGCCAGTCTACTAGAGGACCAGCTAGAATAAACTAGTTGTTTACAAACAAAATGTCTGATCCCTATATTTGTGCTCTCCTGATCCCCATTCCTTCCTCTAGTAATTCTTCCTTGCTGACATTTTTCCTCAGCTCAAGGTATTAACACACACTCATATGAAGGCAGTGGGTCTGCAAGGTCAGAGGGGTGAATGAGGACCCAGGCAACCACTCAGCCAGTGCCCTTCCTAAACATGGCCTTCTGTTCCTTATCAGTGACAGCAGGAAGCTTGGTGGAGATCCTTGACCAGTATGAGGCCTGTGCGCTTTTAGAGCGTGGAGAAAGAGTATCAGTGCCCAAGGCAGGCTTAGTCAGGCAGGTTTCCCTAGCACTTCCTTGTTCTTCTAATGCTGGAAGGGATTCTCTGGAATACTCCATGCGATTTCTGACTTGCTGCAGGTCTCTGATACAACAGATCTTTGCTTACTAATGCATTATGAACTTAGAAGATAAGTCGCTCCTTTGGTACTGTTGCTGTTTTTCCAAGGGCCAATGAGTTAAGTATGACTCATGTCTTTATGAACAACAGAAATTAAACCTCTCCTATCTCCCACTATTCTTAACAACATGCACATATTTGAGTTCATTGCTGCAGGGACGGTATTAATTCA